CATACGTAACTGTGTCGACATATTGTGTTGGCATCTGTATGTTTCTCCTCTGTCTTTGAACCATAATCAAATCCTGAACCTGAGTCGTCGGTCCCTGATCCTACATATTAGTACCCGTATCCTCCGTGTCACCGTCCTGCTCGCCTGGCGTCACCTTAATCGGCACTCTAATGGATACTGTACCATCTGGATAATGTGAAACTGTATCGATCTCTACCACCTGCGATATCTCCTTCGTCGGGTGGCTCTCCACCCGATGAGAGCTAGGAAGCTTCAAGATAGAAGCCTCATCAAACGTGACATCCCTACTCAGCATAATCTTCTTACTAACTGGATCCCAAAGCTTGTATCCCTTGACATCACTCTTGAATCCTACAAATATGACCTTCCTAACTCGAGGTTCTAACTTATCAGTTCTCACATGATAAAATGCAAAACACCCGAATACCTTGAGCTGGTCATAATCTCGTGCTGGCTCTCCTGAACATTTCTCCATAGGGGTTTTCCCCTCAATCGCAGATGAAGGCAGCCTATTAATTAGGTGGCTCGCATATGTAAGTACCTCAGCCCAAAAGATCTTCTCCAAACTACTCTACAACAATAAGCATCGCATATTCTCCAGTAAAGACCGATTCAACCCCTTTGCCACCCCATTCTGCTACGGTGTATGACTAACCGTGAAGTGCCCCTCTATGCCCTCGTCTCGACATAGCTACAGAAAGGGTTCTGAAGTATATTCACCACCGTTGTCGGATCGTAACGTCTTGATCTTTCTTTCAGTCTGCAGTTCCAACCTCTTCTTTCACTCCACGAATATATCTAGGACTTCACTCTTCTTCGTCATGGTGTACACCCAATAACGCTAAGAATAGTCATCAACGAACGTGACGAACCAATATCGACTACCAAGTGATGCAGTCTTGGTGGGACCCCAAACGTCTGTGTGCACGTAGTCTAGGATACCCCTCGTCTGATGAATGGCAGTCCCAAACTTCACCTTCGTCTTCTTACCAAGAACACAGTTCTCACAGAACTCAATCTTTTTACTCTTGGCTCCCTTCAATAGCCCCTGCTTGCACAATATCTGCAGTGACTTTTTACCTGTGTGTCCCAACCTATAGTGCCAAAGTCTACTCATGTCCGCTTCTGAAATAGCCGAAGCAGCCTGACCAATCTCAGTGCTTCCTTTCAGATAATACAAATTTTGATTGCGGACTCCCTTCATCATCACCAATGATCCCTTAGTAACATTCGCTACAGCGTTTTCGAAAGTCATCTTGAATCCCTTCGCCTCCAAAGCTCCAACTGAAATAAGATTTTTCTTCAGTTGAGGTACAAATCTCACCTCCTTCAACTCACGGACTACTCCATCGTGCATCCTAATCCGCATGGTACATATCCCACAAACATCACATGATTGATCATTTCCCATGACAACAACACCCCCGTCGACTTTCTCAAAAGATGCAAACCAGTCCCGCCTAGGGGTCACATGATAAGTAGCGCCGGAATCAAGCATCCAATCTGACGCATCCACATAGTTCACCTCCGGAGTAATCAGTAGAGAAAAGCACGAATCATCGGAATCATCGCCTTTCGCAACGTTCACCTCATTGGCCTTCGGGCCCTTTTTCTTACCATTCTCCTTCTCCTTGAGCTTCGGGCAATCTCTCTTCCAATGTCCCTGCTCATTACAGAATGTATATTGGTTCTTTGCTAATTAGTGGCGGCTTCTTGACTTTGATCTTCCTCTATTACCACCTTTCGGATATGGGATTCTACCTCTCGTCGATAAGGCCTCACCTGAAGTGCTAGCACGGGAAGTCTCCTTGTCCTTCCTCCTCAAATCGTAATTGGTCAATGCGTTAGTCACTTTACTATAGCTGATAGAAGATCTCCCGTTCAACAAAGTGAGCATGAAGGTATCATACTCCTCATCCGGTAAGAAGCCCAATAAAATAATCGCCTTGTACTCATCCGATATCTTCTCATCAACATTCGCCAAATCCGACCATAACTTAGTGTAGTTGTTTACATGAGCCGCTAGCGAGGTGTCTCTGGACATCTGAAATCTGAAGAGTCTTCGCAGCAAGTGAAACCTGTTCTCAACACTCTTTATGAGATACTTGTTGTTGAGAATTTTCCATATCTTCATTGCAGACGTCACTCCAATCACATCATATTTTAGCTCCTATTCCAAACAGGACCTGATCACCCCACAAGCATTCCTATTCATCTTCTCCCATACCACCTCTTCATATTTAGGTGGCCTCTCGTGGACCATAATGGTCTCTTCTAAATTCTGAGCATTGAGCGCATCCTGTATGTCGCTCATCCACAAACCAAAGTTAATTTGACCGTCATACTTCATCACACTAATCTTAGTGTTCTAAAAACCAACTTGTATTGTACTCACCATCGACTTGCTGCTTTTATCTTCTTTTCCCATTATAAACTAACTCCAAATTATAGAGAAAGAACAAATTTAATAGAAATTAGGAACCACCAACTGAACCCTAGATCGGATTCCAAATAGATCTTTTATTCACACGAGGAAAGCGAAATCTCCAACGGTAACTTCAAATTCTATCTCCACCGAAGCCTAGAGCTCTAAGAACCAAGCTTCTAACTAAATCTTCCTCCACCTAATCCAAAACACCCTAGATCTGAAATCTGGGCTCTGATACCACTTGTTGTGCGCAGTGAAAATTTCGGCAGCACTTCGGCAGCACAACAAGAGAGTCAGGTCGCAATAAGAATTCCTGTCTCACCATCGGCAGCACAACAAGAGAGTCAGGTCGCAATAAGAATTCCTGTCTCACCAAGAAAACAAGAATCTGAAGCAAAATATCTCAACCAAGTGACCAAGAAAACAAGAATCTGAAGCAAAATATCTCAACCAAGTGAGATATCAGCTCTTCCTCTCATTAGTTCAAGGACTGACCTGTAGAGGGAACCTAAAAGCTATTACAAATCACACAAATAACGATACAACCAATTTTACGCGGTTCGACAAATTGCCTACGTCCACGGGACAAGGAGGGGGGAGATCTACTAATAGAGAGATAGAATACAATTAGAATTTACAATCACTCACAACCTAAGCTCTCAAACAAACTCTCAAATCCCTCACAATATCTCTCTATAAAAGGATGCTCAAAACTCTCAAAGTCGGCACAGAACGCCTCTGTGTTTTTCTTTTTCTTCGCAGCCGCACAAAAAACCAAAAGAAAACTCCTTTGCTCTCTGCCTGCGCACACCCTTTTGCACGCCGTTCTCCTCCCCAGCCGCAAAAACCAAGCCTTGCACAGCCGCTTCCTGAAACCCTAAGAACCGAATATATAGTTGCATGATATTAATCAATCGGGTGGGCTAGAGATCACGCAGCACGCGGAAACGAAATTGACCGTGTTTACAAATAATGCGTAATCACATATTGTAGGCTATTGTAGGCCCCCACTCTCACGTGTTCACATTTTCATCTAAAAATAGGAAACCATATTATCCATTATTGGTTCAACTATTTTATGTCAATATCTCTAGATATGAAACCGATGGTCACTCGAATGTTCTTAACACTCTTGTGAAGGGAATTGAAATTAATATGACTCCTAAGAAATTTGGTAGAATTTTTAATATTCCTTTTCAAGGTGTTAGTCTTTCATCTATTAGAATGAATGATGAAAATTTGCTTGCTAATCACATTTTCCTTCCCGGTTATGGCAACCCTCTCAATAATTCAAATAAACTTAGGCCTATTCCTAGGTTTATAGCTCGAAGCTTTCATTTTATATCTCTTGACCTAGCCAAAGCCCTCTATGCAATTATGGCAAACATAAAAGTAATTAAATTGGGCTGAGGTATTTTATGAAAATCTTTCAGTCTTTCCTAAGGGATCTCTTCCTTTTGGAACTTTTCTTACGAGAATATTTGAGGCGTATCATGTTAATTTAGAATCTGAAACTTCTAAGATCCATTCTATCGATCTTTTTGATTCCAATGCCTTAACTCGGATGTAACTAACCAATTTTAAAATTCACCAAGATGAACCTCAACCTCAACCAGAACAACACCCCCAACATATACCACAAGCCACTGATGAAGTTGGACCCTCTTCTAGTCACATTCCACCACCAATGAAAGAACCTTCTTGCTTCTCCGACGCACAATACAATACATTGTCAGCTAGAATACTTGATTTGGAATCGGGACAAAAAGCTTTGTATGATCAAAATGTGCTTATGCTGAAAAGTCAAGAAGCATTAACCAACAAATTTGATATTCTGGAAATAAAGTTTGACACAATGAATATGAAGATTAATACCTTGGACATGAAGCTCAGTGCCTACCTCCAAGGAAATCAACCTCTACCAGGACCATCAAGTTAGAAGGCTATGCATGCATCATTTAGAATAGTTTCAGTCTGTTATGTTAAATACAATTAAGTACTTATTTTATTTGGGTGTTTAAATTATATTAAAAACTATGTTTTGATGTTTGCTTAGACGTATGTATTTTGCTACAATGTTTATGTTTGTGTGTTCCAACTATGTATGAATTTGTGCTTTTCAAGGAGTTTTGTATATGGATTCAAGAAAAGGTTTCTCTCGATTGTGAGAGGTGTAATCTCTTGGTGAAGAGATTGGTTGTAATTTGCAAGGACTTGCAAATTGGTCAGGTTTGGTTTTGTTTTGATTTTATAAATTTTTCAAAATCATAGTGGAAACTCTCAAGCAGGATTTGCTTAGAGACTGGATGTACACCTGGGAGGTGGAACAAGTATAAAATTCTGTGTTTGTGATTGTGATTTTCTGTGATGATGCTTTCTTCTTTGCAAATTATAATCTTCCTTGCATAAATTTTTAAAGAAACACTATTCACCCCCCTCTAGTGTTTAAGTGTTATTAGGTCAGATCCTACACAGTGAGATAATTATTACAATATTGTGTTTGAGAGCATTACACCCACGTCAAGGTTCATATTTCACATAAAGATGCGCATTAAGAAAAAACTTAGTAACTCTTTCCATGTTCCACTTAAAATGCCTTGCTTTGAAGAAATTTTTTGGATCTAACAAAATACAACAGACTATCCTAATAAGCTCAGAATACTATCAATATCATCCAAATCAAACCCACAAGAATCTGAAGTACTCCATGAAGGGATCGGTAGAACATTGAGCAGATGGGCATTGCCCATGTCCTCTTCGATGTTTTCCTCGATCAATGAAGAGCAATTCTCACTGAGGGAGCTCAAATTTTCTTCACTCAGATCAATAACAGGGTCGAGGGAGCCGAGGGAGTTAGGCTTGCTCGTATTACTTGATTCTGTGTAAGAATCCTTAGGCTCAAAGATAAGCAAGTTGGACTCCTTTGATGAAGAGTTTAGAATAATTTGTGGAGTTGTGTCTAACATTGGAGGGTTGCAAGTGTGCTGGTTATTATAGATGACCTTGAATAATTGATAGTAGTCATCGCATTCCTCTTGCTGAATTTGTTTGGTGGCTAGGCATCCTTGTTCATCTCTGTATGTGCATCTATAGTAGCTCCTGTATTTCATAATTACAAAAAATACAACATTAAAACATTACTATTTTTAACAATTAATTAAGAGAAAGCTAAGATATGCACTCTTTTCAGTGAAAATTTATTAATCTTTAGCTCTTAAATAGTTCTTCTCAAACATTTACTCTTGTTTTATGTGTGACACGTGAATTTGAGGAGTACTAGAAAGACAATATCCTTAACTTTCATCTTTTGATCATAAATAAACAATCTTGAATCTGTATAATTGCATCACCTCCATTATTATTCTCATGACTTGTCCCCTTAAACTTACGCACAAAGCATCTAGTTATTTTTAATAGACTAAAGGAGAGGAGTCAAATGCATTATAATAACATGGAATAAGATCCTAGTTCCATGGTGAATGAGTTTCTATCAATGATTAGATTATCATTCTACCTAGCAATTCTTTCAATAGAAGACAAGCTATTTTTTCCAATACGGTACGGTGAGTTAGCACATATTGGACATGTAATTAGTTTAATTTTCTTTTGGGTGAAAAACAATGTATTTATCGTTTTCCTCGCAGTTAGCGTATCCTAGGATTTTCTGTCCCTAATTACCTAACGTTATTCTTTATCATCTGAGCCGGTATATATGCCTCCAATTTAATTGGGATCGGCCTACAATATTTAATGGACTGGCTCCGTACATTCGAGGATTATAATTAGATCTGACTTAAATTCTATGCATAATTAATCTATCTATGTAGCAAATGCTAATAGCGTTAAACATTCAATCAGCGTACGTCTCAATTAATTAGCTAACCTTGGGTGCTTGGAATTATGAATCATCTTCTGCCCATACTTCCTCCATTGATGACCATCATGATGAGGGGCAGGTGTAACTATGGTCCGTGAATTATTCATAGGCTTCCTATTAAAAAGAACGATGAAACAAGAAATTAAACGTAAGCAAACATACAACTGATGTATAAACATAAGACAATTATAACAAGTAGGAAGGAAAACTAATTACTTTTTCTTTTGAACTCTCTCCTCCCGGTCATCACCGGAGGAACCGGCCACCGCCCGCCTCTTCTTGCCGGAGACGATGGCGGCATCAGCAGTACTCTCCTTATGTTCGAGGATTGAAAGGGCAGATGCAAGTGCTCGCTGTACTCCTTCGGTGAGATCGGTTGCTTCAGTACTGTGAAGCTTGAGATGAGAGTGAAGGAGGTTGATTAGCATCTTTCCTCTACTAATCTCTCGTATTGCTCTCCTCATTGAGGACTGAGAAGCCATAGTGTCGTATTTTCTAAAGTACGTCACTATTTATGTGTGAAGGTTTTGAAGGTAGGTTTGACGAGTAAGCAGTTTTTTTTTTGTTGTTGTGGTCTATACACAATTGCAAGGTGCTCATCTCTTTCTTACTCATTTCCTCCCTCTTTATTATTCTACAGGAAACCTGCCTGATTTCTTCTATGTGTCACATCACAAACTTAATATTAGCCACCCACTTTATCTCACTCCCTTCTTGTGGGGATGATTTGCTTCCTAAGAAAAAAGGACTGAAAATTGAGAGAAGCTCCATCTACAGCCTGTGTTAATCTTTTAGTAATACAAACATATGCATAGAAAATCAAACGCGGTCAACGCAGATAGTCTACGAATGCAATGGTAATATATACGGCCAACACCTCCCAAATCCCCAGTTCGATCATGTCTATCTAACCTGGGGTGCGAGAATGAAAGGTGGAACCCATTACACCCCAGGACTTATTTGGTAGAAAAAGTTTATAAGTGACAACAATTGACAAATTATCATGTGTTAATAACTTTTAAAGTACTGAATATAAACATGTGCTACACTTTTCACATAAGGATAGGCAAAAGAGTGAAATGTTGCGCGTCGGCGGAAGCGTGCGCACAAATCAAACGAGTCGTCGAGCAATGAGAGGAGAAACAACTAACAAGTGCACTTCACAAAAGAACGGTCAAAATTAATCACAAACACAAAGATTTACGTGGTTCGGCAATTGCATACGTCCACGGGGAGAGGATGTGGAGATTTCACTATATGGAGGAAAAATACAATGGGTTACAACTCTCTTAAATACTCAAAATAACTCTAACCAATAATCTCTCACTCCCTCATAATAATCTCCCTCTCAAAGTGCTCAAAATACTCTTTTTTCTCTGATAATAATCTCTTCTAAAACGTTCTATAAATATAGAAACCCCTAAAATCAAAATAGACCAGGAATCCAATAATTCTAAAATCAAAACCAAAACAAACTATGAATCATGTTTGGCCCAATAACCTGCTATCCAACAATTCTCCACATCAACGAAGTGTTCCCAAAACTGAGCCGACACCAACAAGAGCATCAATGTGTCGTCTCTCCAAATCTGGCTGCACCAATGTGGTTACCTACGTACCCCTCTTCCATGGGATCAAGCCGCCCGTAGTTCCTCCAAATGGCCTCAACAAGCCTCAACAAGCATGAATCTATAACAAGCTTCTACACACCAATTTCTCCTTTCCTACAGCTCGAAACCCCAATGACTGAGTTATATAAAAAATTTTATTAAGATCACCATGAAGAAAGGTTATTTTTACATCTAACTATTCCAATTCCAATTCATATTGTGCCACCAGAGCTAGCAAGATCCGAATTGAAGAGTACTTCACCATCGAAGAAAATACTTCATTGTAGTCAATGCCTTCTTCCTGTGCATAACCCTTTACTACTAATCTAGCTTTGTGCCTCACCGGAGTGCCCTAAATGCCCTCCTTCTTGGTATACACCCATTTGCAACCAATTACCTTCCGTCCATTTGGAAGCCCGACAAGCTCTCATGTGTCGTTCTTCTGAAGAGACTATATCTCCTCCTGCATAGCTTCCTACCACAAATCAGCATCTGAATTCTGATCAACCTCTCTGAATGCAGTAGGAACCATCTCATCGATACTCTCTATCGGAAGTGTATACGTAACCACTGTATCTGTATACCACGCTAGCAACCGTATGTCTCTCCTCGGTCTCCGAACTATAATCGAATCCTGAACCTGAGCCGTCGGTCCCTGATCCTGCTCTGTCATATATGTATCCTCCAAATCATCACCGTGCTCACCTAGCATTACCTCAATCGGCACTCTAATGGATACTGTATCATCTGGACTCTGTGGAGCTACATCAATCTCCACTACCTGTAATATCTCCTCTGTCGGGATGCTCTCCACCTAATGAGAGCTGAGAAGCTTCAAGATCGAAGCCTCATCGAAAGTGACGTCTCTACTCAGTACAATCTTCTTCTCATCTGGATCCCAAAGCTTATATCTGTTAGACCCTAGAGGGGGGTGATTAGGGTCTTATGCTAATCTAATCCGATTAAATGCCAATTAAAATTAATTATCAAGTTATCCTAGCAAGTATGAAATACGACAAGATATATGAGCTAGGATAAGCAATATGAACAATGAGATATATCCTATATGATAGAAATATATGTAAGGATATATAAACAACACAAGGGTAAACAATCTAAACAAAATAGTGGATGATATAGAAATGAGCAATGCACAATGGCGATATAATATATGAACATAAATATGAATGAACGCCAAAGCACACTCAAACAAGCAATATGATCACGGAGTTCGGACCTTCCGTCCTACGTCTCCGCTCCCCACTCCCGGGGAGAAATCCATTATCACAACCGGGTTTTCTACGCTCACCCGAATAACATTTACAACCACACTATGTCGGTTTTCAACGCTCACCGAATAACGTTCACTCCTCACACTCGGTTTTCTAGTTCACCGAAAACTTCACAACACACTTTAAAGCTAGAAATGAGTTTAGAAAACTTCTCAATAGATGACAAGAGATGGAGGGAGAATAATTGATTGCTCAAACTCCAATAGATGATCTCCTCAAGCTCTTGTGGAATTTTCTTCACAAACAAACTCTTGAAACAAACTTAAAAACCCTTCAACAAACTTGTAAAACTCTTTTTAAAACTTTCTTAAACATCAATAAGAAACAATGAAAGTTGAAGGCTTTTTATAGCCTCTTAAATCAGCCACAAACCCCCAAAAACCGAAAATATCTAAAACTAGCCGTTACTAGCCGTTATAGGCTGAAAAGACCAAAATACCCCTAAATTTAGCATTCTGGAAATTTACATATCTGGCTTTATAAAATCAATTAAAAATAGTAAATCAACTCTAAAAATTATGAAATTTTGAGGGAAGGTTCTAGACATGTAGAAGAACATGTTAGAGAAATAATTTATGAAAAATAATTTATCATTTGAGAGAAATAAATATTTGAACACAGATATACAGTTTCTGAAAATCTGCTGACATACACGATTTTGTAAAATCAATTGGGTACAGTAAATCAACTCCAAAAATAGTAAAATTTTGAGGGAAGTTTATAAACATGTATATAAACAAGTCAAAGAAAGAATTTCTTGAATATCACTTCCCATTTATGAAAACCCATCTGTTTTGTAAGTGTGTCCAAAGCATGAAAACTCAAAACCATGCATGTATATATATAACTATATATATACATAGAAACCAAATACGTGTGTGTATATGATATTGAGCTTAAGGTACTTAACACACATAATATAAAATCTAAACTAGATTACCCAAGCTTGATCTTGATCTTCATTGTAGCTCAACTTGGTACACATGCGGATGAAGCTTGAACTTGATCTTTAACTTTGAACTCTATTCCATCCATCCTCCAACTCGTTGTTTGTCTATAATAAATAGAAATATACTAACACTAGACAAACAATATTAGTGGTAAATTGTTTGTTAAACATCATCAAAACAAAGAGGCCAACAATCTCCCCCTTTTTGATGATGACAAACAATTTACAAAAAAGATATATGCATGAAAGGAAATGAATATACAAAGTATAATGTATCATAAAAAGATATATGCATGAAGGGAAATGAATATACAAGATATATCATGCATATAAGCAAGAAAGAATATGCATATACTCACAATATTTCTCCCCCTTTGACAACATCAAAAAGGGGACAAAGAATTAAGAGAGCGAAAGCTCCCCCTATCAATAAGCATAGGTGAGTATAACATATAGAAAGATATAGGGATTGCTCCCCCTATCAAAATGCCATATAGAATATATGAAATGAGGATCAAGGCAAACATATGTGAGCAAGCATAGATGCTAAAAAACAACTCACATACAAAACGATAATGAGAACTGAGAATCATGCAAAAAGAGTTTTCGAATGAAAACAAATCAACCAAATGAAATCATAAATCAACTATTTAAACCAAAAATGATGTTTGATCAACAAAAAAATCTTTTGTAAGACTTGATCAAACCACTCATAGAATACATTATAAAGCATATTTAAAATTTGAATCATCTATTTGTGCTTATATAATGAATTCAAAATAACAAATCAAAGCAAAATTTTCATAGCTCAAAAGTAACTCATGAACTATGGATTTGAAAAACTAAAAATCATCTTTGATTTTCAAAAATCAAGAGAGGCAACTATATCTAGCTCTTGAGCTAGTATCAACCCATATAAATATGTTTAGCACCCGGTAAACAATGTTTGGGAATAAACACCCAATAACTCCGGAGGGTTATATAAACATAGTCCTCTCATCAAAACAAAAATAATAATCATGAAAACAAAAGATTTAAAAAAATTTTCATAATCAAAATATTTTAAGACATAATTTTAAAACCAAGAAAGGAAAAAGTATGAACACTAAAATTCTTGGTTTAAAATTTAAATTTGTTTTGGTACCCAAGAACTCTTGGTACCAAAAGATTTAGGGACATAACCCCTATCATTTAAGCTCAAAGCCCTAGGGTTATGAACCCTCTTAGGCATATATGGTGCACTAACATGGTCAAAACAATATTCATTCAAATGACCCTTCCGATTGCAATTTGTGCAATGAAAGAGATCCATTTGTATTTGTGGACCATTAGTTCGTGCACGGGAATCATTTGCAAATAAAGATTTTCTTTTAAAATTATTTTGCAAATGAGAAACATTCTTAAACAATGGTCTATTTGGAACATATTGCAATTTAGAAGCTTTTTGTATATCAAAACAAAATTTAGCAAGATGTCCACAAACCTACCACAAACATCACAATTAAAAACATGTGGTCTATTGAAAGCATTTGTCAAATAAGATTTTCTTTTCAAATCAAAGCAATATTTGGCCAAATGACCAAAACGACCACAATGATCACACTTGAACACACTAGCATGCTTATGATGAACTATGTGAGAATGAGCATGTGAATGTGTAAGTGCACAAGATGAAGAAGCTACATGAGATGCACAAGGAGCATTTGAAT